GCTGTCGGTACGCGGGAACGGAATAGTACCCCAGGTTTCTCTCTGATATAATATACATAGGGTGTTTACGTTAAATCGAGTGTACGCGTTAGTACACTAGGGTTGAAAAATATAATAGGCACAACCATTTAGTATCTTCATGGTTCAAGACAACTCAATACTGCTTTCCGATGCTAGAGTTAAGCTGGCACACACACTTTCCGTAACAGTAATGGCTCCTGCACACAGGACGCGGTAATGCTTGCCGCGCGGCGGAAGTTCGCGCAACAGCCAATCAGTATGCTGTTTTCCGTAATAACCTTCTAGCTCTTACGGAAAAACAACATATTGATTGGCTGTCGTGTGGACTTCCGCCGCGCGGCAAGCATTACCGCGTCCTGTGTGCAGGAGCCATAAGGCCTGTTCTTTGTAACTGCACTGCTAAATTGGTGCAATAAGTTAAAATGAGACATATATATTTTTTCTCATTCTAACTTATTACACCAGTTCAGTAGCGCAGCCGAAAAGAACAGACCATATATCATATAGAGATTTTCCTTGGTACCAACATTATCCCCTCTACTTTTCGGGAAATTGTCGCCTAACCACTAATTTTTGTTTAAAGATGCTCTTTTGAACGTTCAACTGTTTTATTTGTGTGTGTAAAAAAAGTTTTTACTTATTAATATTTTATAAAATTGTATATTAAACAAGGCCAATATTTAAAATAGAAGTATAAGAAAGATTACACTGAAATATAAGGACAGTATCAGGATATCCGATATTTCTTGACAAATATCGTACAAAGTATTCTTGATATTCTCAAATGGAAGAGAGACGAGCAGAAAATGTGTAAGTCTTTACTTATTGTAGAAACTTCAAAGGAAAAATTAAATATATTATGAAGTTATATAAAAGTAAATCTTTTACAATTATATTTTATGCAAATTATACGTAAATTTTCATATATAATTTGTAGTTTTACAGAACTTTTATATATATTTTATACATCAAAATTACAAAGATTCAGAACCTATTCTTTTTTCTAGAATTTCTGTAGACTTAGCGGATACTAATGAAGTTATAGCTAGTTTAGAAATGCTTAGTGTAGATACTAAGTGTTCATCGTCTACAGAAACTAAGAGGATACTTAGGAAAAGGATACCTAAACTGGTTTCTACAGAAATATCTAATAGAAGGTAACAGTTATTTTAAAATTGAACTGATATTAACTATGATAACTCTGATATATTCATGTTGTAAATTGGTTTAACTTTATTGTGTGCTTGTATAAGATGCAGTTGTAGACCTAAAAAGAGGATATTAAATGGAAGCAATTTGGAAGAAAATATTAAAGAATATTATTTAGACAAAAATATAAAGAAAAAACCAAACAATCTTGAAACAATTTATGAAGAAAATGATGATACAAGTGACAATACTAAATATATGAGTGCAAAGAGATTCAAAAGAATGTTATTGTTTAAAGCTGAACCTACAGCTTCTAAGATAAAAAAAAGACGGGCAAAAATACAGAAGATTTTTGGATCAAAGGTTACAAAAAGTTACAACAAAAGACGTGTTTCAATGCAGTCCATTTTAGATAAATTGGATGGTATTAGAACAAACTCACCAGCAGAAGTGGATATCAAATGATATAGCAGATTTATGTTGCTTTTAAATATATTAAATTTAAGGACTTTAAGAGAACTTGATGCATTATACTTTGTATTTGCACAGTGTTTTGTGAATATGCTACTTCTATGTATCTTATATAATAATGTAAAGGTATTATATGAATGAGAGGAAATATTGAAATCATTACTGCCATATTTATATCTATTAAAGTAAAGATAACATACTTTTTATATATCAAAGTAAGATACTCGTACCATATTGCATTTATAGATTTATTTAAGAGGATAGTATTTGTTAAGTTTTAGATAATGGAAATTAGTTCTCATAAGCATATTGAATTTGTGCAGTATGCATGGAAAAAACTACATTGTTTTTAATACGATAAAATAGGGATGAAAAAGACTGAAAAAATACAAAAATTTTAGTAAAACTTTTATTTGAAATATAAACTGTTGTACTTTAATTTTTTTCCTATATGCCCAGATAGCCAAACTTGCGCAAGCAAATTTTACGCAGAGTTTGTCAACAGTGTCTGTTGACAGAATAGCAACAGATTGCATACAGAAACTGTTTTGTCAGTTTCTGACGACAAATTGATGACAGACTGCGCGCAGAGCCTGCCGACAGATTTTAACGGCAGATTGCGTGCAGATTCTGTTTAGTAGATAGGCTATTTAATCCTATCAAAGGCCATATGTACGCTATTAAATGAAGTAGTTTTACATGCACACCATGTGAAACTCCGAGAGCAGTCAAGATAATTATATTGTACAATAATTGTACATATATACAATAAAAAACAATTTTTACTTTTTAAAATTGTATTATACATTTCTTATAAAAAAGCAAAAATAATAGAGAAATAACGAGTACAGATATAAAATAGTATAACGGTTAAATGGTCATTTAAAGACGTCCATATGCCATCCCTGATAAAAATTGTTTTCATAATTTTTCATACAATTTCTAATTATTTTTTTTTTTATGTTATTATGTCATTAAATCTGAACAATTTAACCGTCATGCAATAAGTACTAAAGGCAGCAGCACTAAAAAAAATATTAGTTCCATCATGTAAATAACTTTTACAGAATTTTTGTAATTTATTTGAAAATATATCATGCTTCGCGCGATTTTGATAAAATTTAATACAATCTGAACTGGACGATCGACTAAATTAATTCGCACATGTAAAAGCACAGTATTTTATTAACATGATGGAAAAATGTCATTATCTGCTGTTTTATTGCAGTGATTTTCTATACAGTCTATGGTAGAAAATTAATTTTGAATTATCATGCCAGTCTCTCTTACATTATTTATACGCTAAACGGTCTCGTCTATATTTTGCGGTTTAAAAGGCGAACAAACTCTAAAATTTTTCTTCCTTAAATCTTAAGTGGGCAATACAAAGCACTTTTTATCAAGTAAAGAATTGGTGTAGTGTCTAAGGCGACGGACGATTATCCAAAAGATGTATTCGATTCAAGTTCGAATCTCACCAGAGAAAATCTTAAAAATTATGAAAAAAATAACATAAAAAAATTTTTTTATTGTATTTATGAGTATTTATGAGAAAGCGCTCATTCTATGAGTAATTATGAAAAATTATGAGAAAATTTTCTACCAAAAATTTAAGAGTCATTACATTAGTTGCAAGTCTCAGTCGAAAGAAAATTTACCAATCACAGTCAATCTTCTTTGATCATAAGAAGAACGATCGACTGTGATTGGTAAATTTTCTTACGATCTTGCAATTTGTAACTAATGTAGAACCGGCTTAATTGAAGAACCTACGAAACGACAGTATTTGCGCGCAATCTGTCGCCAATCTGCCGTCAGAGTCTGTTAGCAGACCCTGTCAGCAGTCTGACGGTAGATTGGGGACGCAGATGTCTATGGATCTGTCGATAGATCCTACTCGAATTCGACAGATTCTGTCGCCAATCTAATGTTAGTCTGCACACAGATTGCTTACTAAATATATGCGTCCTTTTTTGTACATCATACATTTGATCTGATTACATTAAAACATATTGCTATAAATCAGCAAATGTGTTTTTAATTTATTTCTATGATATAGTGTCTTACATTTATAATTTTATATGAAATTTTGTACTTGTTTTTATTATACTATGTATTAAGTCACAAAAAAGGCACTAATTTTTAAACAGATATAAAATTACAAATTGATATAACAAGCCAAATTCGTGGAATGAGATAACACAAAAAATTACAGACAAAAAATTGTCTTAAAAAGATATCTGTTTTTATATCTATCTTATACTATCTTATAAAATAAAAAAAATAGAAAAAATTTATAATCGTACAAATATAGATATGCTGTATATTAATTAATACTTCCTTGTATCATATTCTATTTCATTTGCACAATGCATTTTGTTGCATGTTTTGCACAGTTATCATATTCGCTTAACATAGCCTTGTTTTCTTTATATTCCTTACTATCTAGTTTAACACAGGCACATCTAGGTGACTGCATACTTGCAGTCTCAAACAGCATTCTTGGTACTCCTACCCAATCTCTATCGATTCCACCACTATTAAACAAAATGGACTATGTAAAGCTGTTAAAAATTTTTAATATAATCAATACATATTTGTATTCAAATATATTCCTACCTTCTTTTGCTACACCAGAACATAGTACCAGTATCTGGATTCCATTCTACATTACAGGGTGGAAACATTCTTTTCTGCTTCTCTTCCAATGATTTCTCTTTTTCAGCAAGCTGTACTTTTTCTTGTACTTTATAGGATTCTGCAGTTGGGCTACCATCTTGATTATAATATCTGCCATATAATTTTCCTGAGGAATATAAAAGTATTTTAGATTGTATTACACTTGTTGATCCACCTCATGCACACACACATTATTTTTATGTATATAATTTGTTTTAAATTATATATATAAAACTAAATATGCTTTCCTATATTTTGCTGGAAAGATTGATAAAAAAGTAACATCTTTAGTCTATCTTTTAAGATAAAATTATTAGAAAAGGTGCGTCAACTTCTCTCTCTTATTTCAGTATTTCTGTTTCAGTAGTTTAAGTAATTCTAATTGTACCTTTATAGATATAGTTTGTATTATAAAATTGTATCCAATCATTTAGCGCCTTAACTTGTCGTATAGACAAACTAGATATATCATCAGTTAAACCATTATCATCAAATTCTCCAGTAATAAATGCTAAGGAAGCATCACGACCTGTAACCATGTGCAAGGTAATCATGTGTAAGATATAATATGCATATGTTGATATAAGAAATTTATATTTATGTACCAGTAAAAGCATGGTAATTCCCTTTAGGCCCATAGTGTTTTTCACCTTTTGTTACATCAAAAACATGACCTAAAATCGAAAGATATAAACCATTCTCCATATTCGTATATTGCTTTAATTCACTCGTAGTGAATATCTTCTGTTCCGCAGAATGTCTATTTAACCCAAAATAGATTATGTCAATTACATTTAATGTTCCATCTGCCAGATGTATCTTTATTTCTTTGACAAAGTCAAGTGAATATAAAACATATAAGATTCCGGGTAAGAATGATAACAAAATATATTTGGAAAACATTGGGTTTACACATTTAAAAACTAGTGTATATGTATATTATCCTAATTTTCGATAAGTTTTCAATCTTTGATCATAGATATACGAATATATCTTCTTTCCTTCTTGATTTGGCCCCGGATAGAATCCATCGCCATCTAGTGTTTTCAATAGATTTGTGCAGCCATTAAATCAATGACCGCTGAATTCAAATACTGATTTCCGAGTTTTTTAAGAATTTACAAATGATGTCTAAAACGATCGGTGTTTCAATGAATGCGAGTTCATGTATGTTCTTAGAAAGATTAAATTTGTGTAGATCCGACAGTAATGTATCAGCATGCTTTTTATAGTCATGCATTAAAAAAAAATGATTCGCTGATTGAGAAGCGTGATCACATTGGCAAGATTTTTCTGTAGTAATGCCTTTGTCGAATAGATGTAAATTACAATTAGTATGAAATGACCTAAGTCTATTGATTATAACAATGTACTTCCTAGGAATATGCTTAAATTGTCTGTACCATGGATTTGACAACTCTTTGTTCCTGGTTCTATTAAAATATCTAGCCTTTATATGATGCAGTTTGTTCCAATATAGCGTATGAAATCTGCTTATAGTGTTTCAAAGTTGCTGAACAGAGTAAAAATAGCGATTTTCATGTTGAGCAACAAGGTTTGTACTTTGTTGTGCTGACTGCGATACGAGAAAATCTACCAGATCATGACCTTAAAGATTAATGTGCCCGGGGGCCCAGGCAACAATTATATTACTACCAGAATTATTGGCCGAGTGTAAAAGTTTCTTGATCACGTATATATAGTGTAGTTTAGATCTTTGGCCACCGAGTTAATAGCTGTTACCACGCTCTTATAGCTCCTGCACACAGGATGCGGTAATGCTTGCCGCGCGGCAAAAGTCCGCGCGACAGCCAATCAATATGTTGTTTTTCAATAAGAGCTAGAAGGTTATTACGGAAAGCAGCATATTGATTGGCTGTCGTGCGAACTTCCGCCGCGCGGCAAGCATTACCGCGTCTTGTGTGCAGGAGCCATTAGAGTCGATAACGATTAAATAATCAGTCCCATTTTGTGTTTTTATATAAGAAATGGCTTTGATAATAGCTAAGGCTTCGATTTCAAAAATAGAGAAATAACTATTTGTAGAACCCATAATGTATTTTTTATTCCATTCAAAGTAACAGACGTACCCCCCAAGACCATATAGGAATATAAAGATAGAGAAAATGGTATGTTCTTTTTAGCTGCACTGCTGAACTAATGCAATAAGTTAAAATGAGATATATTTTTTCTCACTCTAACTTATTGCACCAGTTCAGCAGTGCAGCTAAAAAGAACAGAGCAAATGTATGAGTTGCGAGGGCAATGTATGTATGTATGTATGGCTGCGTTCGCTTTGGACGCTCACGCGCTGAAAGCACTTATAAGCATGTCTATATTATGGCTAGTATTCATATAGCATGTTCGACTGGTTCTGGGTTAACCCACTCTGGGTTATTCAGTCTACGTTTATTGGTCGAACAAGTACTTATAAGCTTTATGATTGGCTAGTAGAGACTTATAACGTCATTAATCGCTCTCGGACCGATTAACCCAGGGCCAGTCGAAGACGCTAATAGTCGAATCTTATTTCAAGCCTGTCTTAAGTTATGGGTGTATATCAGTTGGACACGGGGCAATTGGACACAGTCCAATCACAAGTCGCTGTTCCAAGGGACCCTACAAAATGTCTCTAAACTAACCTAACCTAATCTAATCACACGGTGCTGTGATTGGCTGTGTCCAAATGCACCGTGTCCAAGTGCACCGCTCCCTTAAATTATATCTTAAGATGCGAATACGGCTATGTGATTGGTTCATGACATCTTAAGACAGTATTTATATAGGGTGTTTACGATAAGTTGTCGGATTTTCAATCCAACTGAACAGTGGTACTCAATCGACCCATTTCAAAAAATTCCCTAGCTTAATCAGATTTTAGTAAAAGCTGTCTCAGCAGTAATCGGATTAGCTTCATAGCGACGTGAGGTGATACTTTATCCTCAAAAGAAATAAAAAGATAAAAGTCGGTAGGTACGTAATTATTATTCTAATGATTAGCGCGTATCATTTTCCTTATATATCAATATATGAATAAATGATCTGTTACACTTTTACTGATATTAAATTAATGAAAAGAAGTATTAGTAATCTCACGTGTAGTAAACATTAACCTATAATAATATTGGATTTATGTTATAATTTCGTATATAACAAAATAAGAACAGTATAAAATCTGTAAAATTAACATTTCAAACATACTAATTTTAAAATATATTAAGGACATTTATGCATTTATATATAAATATATATAAATATGTGTGCTTGTATACATGTATGTTCATATGTGTAATCTATAATTATTTACACACTTATATTTTTATATAAAAAGGATATTTATATTTTTGTAGATTGTGTATATATATATATATATATATATATATATATATACACACATAATCTATAAAAATAATAAAAGATAAAAGTCGGTATATAAGTATATATATATATATATATATATATATATATATACACACACACACACACACACAATCTATAAAAATATAAATATTCTTTTTATATAAAAAAATATATATAACCTTCTAGCTCTTACGGAAAAACAACATATTGATTGGCTGTCGCGCGAACTTCCGCCGCGCGGCAAGTATTACCGCATCCTGTGTGCAGAAGCCATTAGAGTTAGGGTGCCATTACATGAAGCGCGGAAACGCGAAAGACAAAATCTTACTAGATTTCCGCGTTCCGCGAATTGAATCATTTCTTCCCGGACGTTAAAAAAGCGGAAAAGCACAAGGCCCAAAACTTTTTTCTATTGTCTTTTCATCCAAGGTACCAAGGTACGAATTCCAAAAAAAATATCAGGTCCGAATGTGTTTGAATACGTCTTAATGTAACAGCGGTTAAGTTGAACAACTTGTGATAACTTGTGACAATAGATTTTTCCGCGCTTGTTCCGCGACTTTATTTCTCCTTATATTAGAATGCGTTCAGATTAGAGATGCCCGATTCTGAATCGATTCGATTCTTTCCCCAAAAATAGGTTTATTCGTGTTGTTTGCACTCTTCGCACTTTTCGTATTTAAAATTAGATAGAAGTATATTGGAATGTTTCGAAAAAGCAAAAACGAGACAATCAACTCGATTGTTTCTTCCAAGCGTCTAATCAGGCGTCCATCTCTTTTTAAAAGCGAAAAGTATGAAACATGCAAGCAGCACGAACAACCCTTTTTCCCTAAATTTGTTAGGGAAAGAATCGAATTGATTAAGAATCGGGCATCTCTAGTTCAGATTCTTCATCCAGGTGCACTCTATTACTAGAAACACTATAGTATATGTTACATATACTATAGCACTTCTAGTAATAGAATCCACCCGGGTGTGGAATCTGAACGCAGCCCTGCATGGAGCACAATTTGCGCGGAAAAGCGGAACAGTTTGGTGACAAATAAACATCTGTATTCATTTTTTAAAATTGTATTAACTTAATTTACTGCAATTTTTACTAATATGTTTATCTTTTCAGTTTATCTGTTGAATATATTTTGATTAATGATTGATCTGTTGAAAGCATTTTATTTCATAAGTACTGTTAAAAATTAATATTTTATAATTGCCCATTTCCCCATTCCGCTTTTCCGCTCAAAATATCCCTCAATATAATGTAATATAAGGCAATCAAAACAGACGCAAAACGCGTAGCGGATCTAGTAAGATTTTGTCCCGCGTTTCCACGCTTCATGTAATGGCATCCTTATGGCTCCTGCACACAGGACGCGGTAATGATTGCCGCGCGGCGGAAGTTCGCGCGACAGCCAATCAATATGCTGCTTTCCGTAATAATCTTCTAGCTCTTACGGAAAAATAACGCGTGCAGGAGCCATTAAGATGGAGTCCCATGGAGCGTATTGTGCATATTGCGGATTGCGCGTATCGAACATCTGACCAATCGCAGACGTTCCGCTGCTTTTGATACACTGCCGTTCCGCTGAATCTATTATTTTCCGTAATACGCAAAATATCTTGACTGCCGATCGAAGAATACCACAATGTAACAAAAATTTTAGTTTTTATGCATTTCTTTTTTTAACAAATGGATATCGCAAATAAAGAAAATACAAATCCTGTGAGTATCTATAGCATTTTGAAATATTATTTTTGTAATGTTTGTGATTGTATATACATTATGCTTTATAATAATATTTGAAGGTTAGTTTAGAATTTGATGAAGCATATTTTTGTTTAGTTTGCACACATTTTGGTTTAATATATTTCATTATGAATTATAAATTATTGAGTTTAATGTTCTTTTCTTTTTCATACAGTCAAGTAAATGTGGATATTGGGGGTGAAAAATAAATGGATTATTAAATGTTAGTGTATTACAACATTCAACGTTTCCAACATTTTAATGATGAAAAACATGTGATACACGTTGACGACAACAATGCTGCATTTATAAGTAATTATTAATACTTAAATATTTTAAGGGTAATAATTATTTGTAATAGTATTCAATTCAGTTACAAATATAGATAATTCTTCTTGGTTTAAAATTTGACTTTTTATTTTATTGCAACTTAACAAAAGTCACTTGTAATACAAGAGTTTAACAACAAGTTAATCAGATAAAATTAAGTTAAAAAGTTTAAGAATTTTTAACATAAACTTTGTTCATTTTTAGGTCATTAATTTTTAACTTAAATTAGTTTTAAAAAATCTAACTTACCCAGATAGCCAAACCTGCGCGAAACAAATTTCGAGCAGAGCTTCCTAATGAAAAATTTTTCATATATAATTATATAAAATTATATAAAATTACATATAATTATATATTATTATGTATCAAATTTGTCCATTTTTGTTCATACATTCTACTTATATATATAATTATATATAATTATATATATATATATATAAATTCATATATAATTTTACATAATTACGCATAAATTTATATGTAATTATACATATTGTTATACATAATTGTATATAATTATATATAATTTTATATGATTATATATAATTATACATAATTAT